GTGGTCATGGGGAAGGCAAACCAGCAGTGGAAGCTGAATATTTATTGCCTTCATCTCTCCCTCATCATTCCTGTCCTTCTTCCCCTCTCTGCTGTTGGTGTTTTGATGTGCAAACCACTTGTCACTTCTGCTGCTGTGCTGGGGTGGAAAAGAAAACAAAGCCCTGGTTATTAGTAGCTGTTGCTGTTTACTAAAGCTGTATGTTCTGCCCTCCTCCAGGGCAGGAAATGAGGTGGGGACACTGAGCCAGAGAAAAGAGCTTCATTAGACAAGCAGATGTGTTTATGGGAGTCTTGAGTCTGCTTGGAGGCCCCAAACCCTGCAGAGCACATTGCTGAGGGGCAGAAAGTAAAGCCTGTGGGCTCCTTCCCAGTGAATTGGAGGTGACAATCCCACCCTGGTGTGCTGGTGGTGGTGTGAATCTTGTGCATTCAGGTGCTGAGATGCAATGTGTCTCTCTTCGGAAGTGTTGAGCCTTGTTGAACGTTTTCCCTCTGAAACTGTTGCTGATCAGGTGAGCTGATAGCCTAGACAGACTCTGGGGAGCTTGGGGTTAAACAAGGTGAGCTGCCTGGGCACCATCACCTGCTTGGGGTGCTTGGGTGAGCTGTCTTAGACCTGTTGCTTCTGCTCTGAAGGAAGCACTGTGCTATGTGATGGTTTGTTCGTCTGGACCTTCAGTGTTCATCATCTCGTCCTCTGCACCTCGTGTGGTCCCCAGAAGTTGGTTGGTTATCCCTGTGTAGTGCCCTTAGTGTCCACCCCCTGTGCAGAGTTTGGCCCTGTTTGTCCTGGTTTGGCACCCAGCTGGCAGAATTTGTTTGTGTGCAGCAATCTGCAGGCTCTGGTGTGCCCTGAGGTCTTTGTCTTGGACCCCTGAGCACAGGAAAGCTGAGCTGGGAGCTGCAGGCATCCCTGGGCTGGCACGGGTCATCCCTGGGCTGGCACGGGGCATCCCTGGGCTGGTGAACACTGAGCTGCTCATGCGTTTCAGTCAAACATTGCCTAGCCCTGTGCTGAGCCTGTGGTGGCTGCAGGAATCATTCCTGGCCTCTGGAGATTCCCTGTCCCACCCTTTTCTTTCTGGATGATCTTTGTTCTGCCCAGTGTTAATTTTCTTCCTTGGCATTAATCACCTCTGACAATTCCTGGGTTGGTGTGTGAGGCCTATGCTGTACATAAGTGAAAGAGTGACACAAGGAACATCTACAAATGTAGTTATGTTGTATGTAATGTACATAAGGAGAGAGTGTATTTTGTTCATTTTTTTTCTTAATAAAAATGTATATGCTAGCCAAGGGTGTTGAGTCCAGATCTGTTTGTTCTCCCAGCGCTTCTGAGGATGGAGAACCCTCTGTGAGGTGGTGGTGGTGTTGTGGGGATGGGGAGAGCAGTGTCTCATGTTCCTAACACAAGAACTTCTGCTGGGCAGGAACACAGGTACAACACAGGCTGCTGCAAACTGCAGGGTTTTAATATTTGACTTAAGCCAAGTGCCTTTTTTTTTCTCTTTACATAAGCAGAAGCTTAACCTGGAACAAAATGTTTTCTTTTGGGCACTTGAAGGCGAGTGGAGACACTGAATAGCCCACACTGCTGCTGACCCTGCTGGTGATGCCTCTCCTGGTTTCCAGGCACAAGGTTTGATTCCCTACCCCACAGCCTGAGCTGAGTGCCAGGAGGAGCTGCAGGCCAGGAGTAAGTAAGTCAGGATGAAATGCAGAGCTAGGGGTGAGCTCCTTTTCCCTTCCCTCTCTGAGCCTGGCGGTGCTGATGGCTCACACAAGTGCTCTGGCCATGCTGGGGCTGCCCCCACCCAGCCCAGCCCAGCATCCCACCCCTCTGAGCCTGCTGGGGTTTAGACTGACCATCACAAACTTCCTCCTGCATGGGAGAAACCTCCTTCCATGGCTGGTGCCCCTGAAGGTCTGGGTTGGTTTGGTTCCTGCTGGTCCAGTGTTCTCCAGAGAAGTCTGTGGAGCACAAGCTCTGCCCTGCCCACCCCTCATCACTGAGCCAGGCAAGGAGCCTTATACATAAGAATGTTTATTGACAGAAATACATGATGCTCTCAAAATATATTTGTAGGAAAATGCAAGAATAATCTCTACAATCCAGTTCCTCAGTAAATTCCAGTGTAAATCAGACTCCTGTCCCTGTGAGAGATGCTGCTACACAGTACTTAAGAACTGTAGTATATGTGCAAGGTTCAACAAGTAGCCACCTTGGGAATGAGGTTTTCCTTCTCCAGTCCCTCAGGGATTGTGACTCGTGTGTGTCTTCCGTAGGCACCAGTCACAGTATCAACCTCAGCAGTTGGGTCATGGCACTGTGAGATAAAATGGTCCTAAAATATTTACACATTCCTCGTGGATCTGAACATAGAAAAGTCTCTTGCGAGGACATCTGAGCTGCTTGCAAAGCCCTCACGAGAAGTTAAGAGCAATCACCTCTTTGAAGGACTTGTCGGGTGTTAAAGCTGTTCTAGGGGAGAGGAGAGGAGAGTGGGGATGGGAGGAGAGGAAAGGGAGGGAGGAAATGCCTGGGAAGATTTCTCTGACTGGTTATTTTTGGTCTAGCAGTTATGGCTACACTCTACAAAGGGAAGGGTTAAGGCCAAAGATGCTCATTGCTGCATTTCCTACCTGATTGGTTTTCTTTCCCAAAAAAGAATGTTCTCAACATTAATAAAAAAAAGCCCACTCCAAGGTTCTGTTTTCTTTTCCTGTGGAAATAGTTCTTTAAATAGGGGAAGGAAACTCTACTATAAAATATTAGTGGTTTAAAAATATGGTGTCTGGAAAAATAAATAAATGTACAATTCCTATGCAAATATAAATCACTGTAAGCACTTGCTGAGCAGTTAATGTCTTCACTGGTCTCTGCTCGGAGAGATTTAAGGTTGCTTGAGCTCAAGCCTTTGCAGGGTTCTCTTGGAAAGTCTTTGGACCTGATTCCTTAAAGCACTTTGGCATCTCTTTGCTGGGAAAAGGGGATCCTTAGGCACATGCCAAGGCCTGATTGTCCTTATGGCAGTGCTAGTGCCCGTGGCCACCTGGGCAGGAGGTGTTCTCCTGCTGGCTGGGGAATGTGGAGCCCCTACCAGAATGGCCTTCAGCTTCATGTTTCTGCTTTCATTCCCCCTCCAAAATGACTTCCCCGTGGTGCAGTGCACAGCTGAGTGAGGTGTGCAGAAATACATCTCTAATGAATAGCAGGAATATTTACATACAAAAATAGAAAGGTCTGAACGCTGCAGGCTCTGCCCTTCGGGGCAGGAGAGAAGGGGCAAGAGCCACTTAGATCTCCTGCCAGAGCCTGTCCTGGGCCAGCCCCAACCCTCTCCTTCCTGAGCACTCCCAGGACCAACTCCTCCTGGGCTCCTCTGAGCTTCCCTTTGCTTGGGTCTGGTTTTGCTCCTCCCTCAGGGCAGCTGTGGGAGCAGATCCTGGTGTGCTGTTGGCTTGGTGGCACAGCCCAAAGGAGTTCACCCTGTGAGCAGGCGAGAGGAAGGGCTGAGCTCAGGCACTGCTCTTAGCTGCAGCTCCTCTGGCTTGCAGGGGGCCTGGGACCACCACCATCCTCCTGCTGGGAGGTGGACTCACCCAGCTGACTCCGTGGTCCCCTCCTCTCTGCCCCAAGTGCTGGAGGATGGAGCTCCCTCTGGTCCATCTTACCTCTGCCAGGGCTCAGCTGCTTCACCAGAGCAAAGGTATGAAACTCTCCCCATCCCTTTAGAGCCATTTCAGGGGGGATACAAAACCAGAAACAGCCCCAGTTCAGCCACTCTCTGCTCCTGTATGGTTTTCTTTTCCTCTCTGGAGACACAGAGCAAAGGAAGACACGGACAGGAGACCAAGGGCTGCAGGACAAAGCTCTGTCCCAGCGTCACTGCTGAGCTGGAAGTTGCTTTGCAGGTCTGTTATTTCACAGCCTTGAGAGCATGGGCTGAGCTTACAGACCTCGTGGGGAGGAAACATCAAGGGCAAACCCTGAACACCTCCAAGCTCCCTGGCTCCTGCTTCTGCTGCTCACTCAGGAAAACATGACCCCAGCAATCCCTGACCATCGTGGCACACACATCCCACAGTCCCTGGAGGATGGGTGTTGGCTGGGAGATGTTGTTGCATAATTCCTGCAAGGCAACTGACCCTTCTGTAGGGAAGTGCAGCACCAGAGCTGACCCCATCACTCGTGGTCTCTACATCCTTCCCGGGAGGGATGAACTCAAGGAATGACTCATTTTTCTCTCCCAGCATTATCCCATGAATACAAGAAGCTGCTGCCCCTCTCTTGGCATCCATCCAGGTGCAGGATCCATCCTGCAGCCCTTTGTGGTGGGCTCAGCATCCCTCCCAGCCCACCAGGTCTGGATGCATCCATCTGCCTGTGGCACAGCGAGGAGCTCCCGTGTGTCTCAGCCAGCACGTTCTGGGAGAGGAGGGAAATGGGATTCCAAAGGAACAGGCTGTTCCAGCTCTTTCTGCTCCATACCTGGGTGTCAGGGAGGGCAGAGTGATGACTAAACAGCGTGGGCCAGAGGATTTTTCAAGCTGTAATTGCCAGGTGCTGCTTTGCTGTCACAAGTGTTCCCTCTCCCGTCCTGGATCCTTTGTTTCTCTTCATTCGGGAGCTGGAGGATGTGGTTGGAGGTGGGATGGGAGGGGATGTGCTCAGAGGAGACACCAGCAGCTCTTCAGGAGCAAAGCCCACCCTGTTTGCCCATGGCTGGTCAGCTCTGGTGTGGTAGGTGGGTGGGGGATGGAGGATCCTTGTCCAGGTGCAGCCACCCAAGGTGGTCAGTGTTGATGTGCCCCAGAGGTGTCTTCTCATGTTCCTTCTTCTTCCACCCTGCACCCCACGTGGTGGCACCAGGTTAGTTCATTAAGGGATTTTCTGGTTTGAGGGGGATTTTGCCTCATTTTGGAATTGTGTGTGTAGGGATTATGGGGTTTTTCGGGGGGGAGGTGGCAATTTTTTGCTTGATGGAGTTCTGCATCCTATAAATGTGTGTCCTCCTCTTCCTCCAGGTCCTCCTTCATCAGGGTGTCAAGAGGAACGATCCAGCTGTCTCCCAGCTCACCATTGAGGTTCACCTTCTTCTCCTGCATTTCAGAGGAGGTCTCCATCACCTCCAGCGTGGGGTTGTCGTGGTAGCCATTCTCCATTGTCTGCAGCTCCTCGGTCAGGCGCTGCTACAAGGAAAGAAAACCCATAAACCTTCTGGAAAACACCTTGGCCCAGATGTGTGTGCCACCCTGGGGCTGTCACCCCCAGCCAAGTGTGACCACTGCCCCATACAGATGGAAGAAGCTACATATAGAGCCTCTTGTGGTGAGGCTGAGGCTGGAGGCAGCGAGGGGATAGCATGGAGCTGGCAAGAGAGGCTCTGCTAATGATGGGAGGAAGGAAAGAGCAGCCAGAGACGTAAGGAAAACCTCCAGGAGCAGCTGCCAGCTTCAGCTAGTTCCACCCAAGACCTTGGGAAGAGGTTGGGCATTGCTGCATCCCAACTCCTGCCTCCCTAACTTGATTCTGCTCTCCTCCCCTTCCTCCCCTCTCCCAGCCCTTTTTGGTTGTCTCATTATTATCCTCCCCCTTGACCCAGGGCAGCTCCCACCTTGGAGATGCTGCTCACTGGTCTTTGCCCCTCCTTAGGCATCATTCCCTCCTCATCCTGGAGCTCTCAGTGGAAACCAGGCAGGGAAAGATGGGATCAGGCACTGTATCACCCTGGTCCTTTGCTGTGATGTGCTTCAGGCTCTGATTCAGCTCTTCATCCCCTGGCAAACCCCCCCAGCCTGTTCTCATTTCCTTCATCCCTGTCTTCCCTGGAGGGATTCAGTGGGAACTGCAGTCCTTGGTCAGCCCTTTTGGGGAGCACAGGGCTCTCAGTGGGAACCCCTGTTAAACTCTGCCTGGATTTCCAGCTTGATGTATTACAGTGCTCCTGGTCAATGTCAGGAGACAGGCGTGGCAGGGGATCCATGGAGAAGGAGAGGTATGGAGAAGCAAAACCGCAGGGCTTGGCACTAGCAGAGGGGCTGCACAGGCACCGTGGGGGTGCCCTGAGGGTGGCACAGGGAATGTGGGCAGGGGTGGTGGACACTGGAGAGCAGAGCTCCCCTGGGCTCTGCCAGGGGCTGTGTCCCTGTGGGATGGCTGGGCCAGCCCCAGGGTGGCTGGATTGATGCTCAGGCAGTGCTTCCTCCCTCTCTGGCCATGCACTGAGGGCAAGGGGCTTCAAGCTGGGCTTTAGTAGGCTTTTTAGTCCTGTTAAAAGCTCCTAAGCCCTACCAAGCTGAAGGTGAGAGCTGGGGGTGTTACAGATGCAGCTCCCTCCCCTCCCACCCCTGCAGTGAACTCACATTAAAGATCAGGGCCACATGTCCATCATCAAACCCGGGGAGGTCAGGGTGGATGTGCTGGGTATTTCCAAGGTAAAACCACGGAGTGGGAAGGGAGGGAGGGAGGGAGGGAAGGGTTGGAGAAAAAAAATTAAACAAAAAAAACTTTCAAGTCATTTTTGGAAAAGAAGCAGGAGGAAAACAAAAGAAACACCCAAAAACAAAGCCAGGAAGGAGATGTGTGTTTGGGTTTTGGAACTGGCCATCCCTTGCTTTGGTTTTGCTACTTTACCGTGTGCCTAGTGGGAATTTACCTCTGGAATATCCAGCTGGGACTGGTACCTGTTCCTCTGCACCAGGTTATTTGAGGGACACATGTTCCCACCACTAAAAATGTTCTGTTTCCTGAGCAATATGGGGCAAGAGTGTTTTGCTGCTCCCTGTCCCTGCTGTTGGGATGTTTCTTACCCCAGCCAGGGAGATTTCCCCCAAGGGATGATGAAACCCTATTAGTTCTGAGGGAACCACAGCACAAGTCAAGTATCTACTGAGGTCTTGCATCCTTCCCTATTCCTTCCCAAAAAAATCAAGCCTTGTGAGTACAAAGAAGTCTGATGCTGGTGTTGGTTTGCTCTTCTCTGCCTCCTGTGCTCATCCCCCTTAGGCTCCAAAGGTTTAAAGCAAAGGCTTATCCCTTGGGGCAGAGGTTGGGACCCCTGGAGGGAGAAGAGCTGGTTTGGGGGGGCAAGAACTTCAAGCAGATGCAGTGGTTTGCTCCTCCAGCAGGAGGGTGGTTAACTCTGTTTGTATCATTGGATTCCATTTATTTTTCCCCCTTCTGTTTTTGTCTGTTCTGGAGCTAAACCCTCAGCAGGAGCAGCTGGGACCAGTGACAGCCTCAGTGCCAGTCCTTGCAGGTAGATGCTGCACTGAAATCACCCAGAATTGCTTCCTGAGATAAAAATCACAGTATTTTCTTTTTCCATTTCTGTTCTTCCTTAAATCCTCCTCCTGCTGCTGCTCTGAATTTGGCCCTGGCCCAGCCCCTGCAGAGGCCGAGCCGTGTGGTGGCATTGCCCTCCTGTGGATATGCTCCTGCCCTGCACACAGCCTCAGGCTCCCTGGCACCCCGGGGAAGGCATCAGGGGATGCTGAGCACTCACTCCTGCAAGGCCAAGTATCTCATGAGATTTCTGGGGAGTGTAGATGGTTTTGGAGGGGATTTGGGGTTGAAAAAGCCTTTCTTAAGACCCAGAGGTGTTAGCTGCCTTGGGTGGCAGCAGGGATGGGAGCTGCTTGCCATCCTGCCCCACCACCAGCCCCTCATTTCCCTGTTTTCGTCCTGGCTGTTCCCATCCTGACACCCCAAGAAGCAGCTGTTGCCCCTCCAGAGCATCCACAACACTTGGGCACTGCTTGAGCAACACACCAGTGTGGTGCCCACTAGGCAAACCAGGACATCTCCAGCATGAGACAGCAGCACTGGTGGTCCTCACCCCGTGAAGAGGTGTCAGGATACCTGTCCCACCCCTCTGCCACCTCACCTGGTCCTTCTTCTGGGAGAAGCGCTGGTGGCAGCAGCCGTAGATGGTGGCAATGAGCAGCAGGGACCCAGCCAGGGTGACAATGGTGATGATCAGGGGAGTGCTGAACTCGTCATTGATGATCATCTCCCTCTCCATTTTGTCAGAGGTGATGTTGGCTATACCAAGCTGCCACAGAAGGGACAGGTCAAGCCCCTGTGCCACCCACCTTGGGGGACATTCACAGGGCAGCTGCACCGTGACCAGGGACCAACTCACCTCCTCTAACTTGTCCTTCTCCTTCAGCTCCTTCAGGACCTTTTCAGGGTCCAAAGTAACTGGGGGAAGAAAGAGGCTGCAGTGAGCACGAGGCAGAGGGACAGGCTGAGCCACCTGACCCCTTTCTGGAGGAGGTGCATGGAGATGTGTGGGTATGATGCCAACCTCTGCAGATGCCTTCACAGCCAGACCAGGAGCCAGGACCTCTTCTCTGGGAAGAGGGATAGCTCTAGAACCTCAGTCCCCACCATCCCCCAGCTCTGGGGGATTGGAGGTATCTCCAGTGGGTGATTTATGAGTGAGACCAGCAAGGGGCTATAACCAGCTCCTTCAGACTGTGCTGGAGCAGTGCAGGGTTAGTCCCCAGTGCCCATCTGCCCTCCCTGTGGTCAGGCTCCCCAAAGGGCTCTGCTGTGGGCAAGCAGCTCCTGTCTGTAGTCCTCTGGGAAAGGATTTGAATGGGGAACTGCATTTTAACCACTTGGGATGAATTGTTCCTCCTGGAGGTTGGTCCCTGCCTTGACATATCATGGATGGGAGAGGGACCTGGTGCACTCCTTGGGGAGCAAAGCTCATTTCTGGGATCACTGTGCCTCTCCCAAGCCACTGAGATGGGGCAGCCCAAGGGACAGAGCCTCTTGGCCAAGCTCTAGTAGACCTGAGGGTTCTGCCAAACCTCTGGCTGCCTCCCTGTGCCAGGGCCCCCAGTGCCACCCCATGCTGTGGCACTCTGGGCAGGGTGGTGGGCTCATACTCACGGCACAGGACAATCTCAAGGGCCCAGTGGTGGGAGTGAGGCTCGGGGGATGTCAGTGTCACCCTGCAGGACTCGGCGCTGGCGTTGAACGTGTGCTGGGCCGTCGAGCAGAAGCTCTCAAAGAAGGAGATGTTGGTGCTGGCCATCCTCCAGTCAGCCTGACGTAACAGCAAGGGTCAGTCCTGTCCCCCCATGTGGGGATGTGGAGGAACATCACGCCCCATCCCCTGGGATGTGAGATGTCCCATCTCTGAAGAATGAGCCAGACTGGCAGTGGCACTTAGTGCCAAGGTCTAGCTCACATGGTGGTGTTCAGTCAAAGGTTGGACTCGATGACCTCAGAGGTCTTTTCCAACCCAATGCATTCTGTGATCTTCCCTCATCCCTTTGCAGTGCTCAGCCACCATTGACCCTCCCAGGGAACAGGAAAAGTTTCAAGGCAGTTTCTCCAGAAGCAGCTGAGCTCTTGGCTGCCGTTCCTTGCTGGGCCCTGCGCAGCCTTATCTGTCAGCAGCAGCTTTTGGGCTTACAGGAATAGCAGCTCCCTGAGGGAAGCAGGGTGGGGAGGCTGAGGGGCCACACAGGAGTGGGACAGGGCTCTGTGGCCCTGCTGTCCTCACATTAGCATCTGCAGCCTTCCCACCACCCACAGCTCTACTCTGACCCCACAACACTGTCCCTGGCCTCCCTAGAGCTTCCCCTTGGCTCTGGGGGGAAGGGTAAAAGGCAAGAGAGTGTTTTGCTTCTGGACAGAATCACAGGATGGTTTGGGTTGGAAGGAACTTTAAAGATCATCTAGTCCCATCCCCTGCCCTGGGCAGGGACACCTCCCACCAGCCCAGGCTGCTCCAAGCCCCATTCAACCTGGCCTGGAACACTCCCAGGGATGGAGCAGCCACAGCTGCTCTGGGCAACCTGTGCCAGTGCCTCAGCACCTCCCAGGTAACAATTTTTTCCTCATCTAACCTAAGTCTCTCCTTTTTCAGTTTAAAGCTGTCATTCCTTGTCCTGTCACTTCATGCCCTTGTAAAAAAGTCTTGTTTCATCTTTCTTCTAAGCTCCCTTTATACACTGAAAGGTTGCAATAAGGTCTGGCTGGAGTCTCCTCTTTTCTCCAGGCTGAACAGCCCAAACTGATTCCCTGTCTCTGTGCACAGACCTTGCCTGCACAGCTCCTGGGTGAAAGATGCCGCATGTGCAGCTCCCACATGCTCCAGCCCTTTGTCCACTGATGCTCACGCACGAGGTGTTGCCTGCACAGTCTGAAAGTCCTCAATCCATGCTGAAATGAGGTGCCTGGCTGGGAAAGGCTCTGCTCCATCCCCCCAAACCTTCCCCTCCCCCTGCAGCTCCTGCTCGTGTCCTGCTCACTGACCCCAAGGACAGCCAGGGAAGGCACCTAACCCCACTGCACCTTATCCAAACCCTTGGGAAGTGGAGACAGGATGCTCTTGCTGGGGTGGAGGGGCAGTCTGGGCTCGGTGCAGGGAGCTCAGCACTCCCTGGGGACCTCTCCACGGCTGTACCATCCCGGGGCATCTCTGGGGAGAGAGGGAAACCTGCCCCAGCCCCGCAGGGCAGAGCTGCCTGGGGCGCTGGTGGGGCAGGAGGAGAGCAGCTCTGGTCGCTGGGCTGTGCTCCTTCTCTTGGAATATCCTGCGCTTTATCAGTCCCTCCCTGCGCT